AAAAAAATTATTGCGGATTTGGGCTGCTCTCCTCAAGCCGCACACGACCATGTAATCAGAATAAAAAAATAAAAAATTTAGGCAGTCTGCCGACCGCCGACGGGTCCGCCTACGGGTCGACCCGACTGGTAGGCGTAGGCGGTAGGCGCCAAAACAACCCTGCAACTTACCCTAAAAAGATGAGATTTTCGTTTTTACTCACTTTTTTTCAAATAGAACGTCCCTTCCAATAGAATGCTCGGGCGTTATATTCGAATAGAACGCCCGGGCGTTATATTTGAATGTTCCATGGGCAGAGTGCCTTGAAGACGTAGTATACATGGGTTTTGAAGGGTGGGGAAGGTGGTATACATGGGTTTTGAAGAGGGTTGAATGGGGTTTTGACTTCCAAGGGGCATATTTTGGCTTTAGTTTTTATTTTTATTTATTTTTATTTATTTTCGAGTTTATAAGGAATTCTGAAGTGACCCTCAGCCAAAAGTTGGTCGCATTCCAATCCTGGATAACATGTTTTTTTTTTTTTCTTTTTTTTTTTTTTTTTTTTTTTTTTTTTTTTTTTTTTTTTTGAATTCAGGAGCCTCACCGAAGTTACCACAAATTTACTGAATATAACGCCCGGGCGTTATAAACGAATATAATGCCCGGCGGGCGTTATATTCGTACAGAACGCCCGGGCGTTATTTTCGGGTGAAGAAGGTAGCTACTCCTAATTACTAAAAGTCTCCTTCTGCTTGTCCTATTTTATGGTGTGGAGGTGTCCTATCGTCCCTTGATGAGATTCCTGTCTGTCAGGTTTCACTATGCATTCGCCTCTGTTCCCCAGTGAAATGCGATCCTCGTTTCTACTGCTACGGCCACCTTCCCTTCGCACAGGGTTATTTGCCCAAACCGCCTTCTGATTTCCTGAGCCTTTTCCAGATTGTGTTGCATGTGCTGTTTTGTTCTCTTCCATTGTGCCCGGATATCTGTCTCGTGTAGGTTGAGGAGAATGCTTCTTGCTTCTTGCTTGTCCATTGGCCTTTTTTCAATTGTATGCTGGCATTTCCTCTTCCAAATGGTCCAAAGAGCATACTGCCTTAGCAGGTGGAAGATCTTCTTTTCTCCTCCTCCCGAGGACCTTGGTAGGGCCATTCCCATTAGCAGGTTAATCCATATCTTCCAGGAATGGGTGGCTTGACACCTTCCCCCATATGGATTTGGCCATTTCCCATATTGCTTGCACCTCTTGAAAGTTAGTAGACAGTGGAACCGTTTCAGATACTCCTTCCCTGCAGAGGGCACATTTCTCATTTTCCGTGTCCCCGTGTTCCCGGCTCCTTTGGGCATTAAGCCAGACATTAGCCGGCAGGGCCAGATGCCAGATCAAACATTGTTGGCTTCTGACCCCTCCCTAACCTGATTGAATTCAGGCTGGCCCATGGCATGGCCCACTTAGCCTTATGGTTACGCTGGGCCCTCTCTTTTGAGTTCCCGGAATGCTTCCTCTGGTATTCCTACCTGCTGCCAGGTGGCCCAGTCTCCGTATTCCCATTGGGCCCCCTTTTCCAACAGTTTCCTCCATTCCTACGGAATCGATATAAGGGCACCATTGAGATTCTCCAGCAGTCTGTGGCTCACCTTCATCCCGTTCTTAATTCCGTTGCTGTTTTCCACTGCTTCCTTTCTCTCGACCACAGATGCTTCGCCTGCCAAACTCCATGTTCCACCCAAGTACCCCATTTGGAGCCCCGGGTGGATAGGGTTCTGGGTTTACCCTGGATGTCCTTGATCCATTGGTTGCAGAACAATGGTTGCATAGGACTTCTTCCCTTGTGCGGGGCACCCTGACCCTAGCCGAAAAAAATCCTCCCACAGTTCAATAAGCTGCCTCCAGTAATTACCTTCTCGAGCGGGGTCGCCCTCATTCTCCTCCCTTCCCTATATAGCCCATCCCTTGCATGTTAACCAGTAGACACTCCCCATGTTGGATAGTGTCTTGTATCTTGCCAGTTTTCGGACCTGTTCCAGTGCAAATGGTGCCTATTGCCGGACTGGATCGGTGAGGAGCTTACTGTCCGCTTAGTTTGCAGAGCTTTAAGCTGCTGCATTGGGTTAATTATGCCCAGGCCTCCCTTCTCCTTTTTCCTGGTCACATGCTTCCATGCCACTTTGGATATGAACTGGTGCCTGGATGGATTAGCTGTCCAGAGATATGCCGCCACCCTCCTTCTTAACTCTGCTGCTGCTTATGTGGACAGGGTTGTTTTGCTGTTGTTTTTCTGTTGTTTGTTCGGCATATGTTCTGTCTTACGTTCCTCCCTTCGGCAATAGTGCCTGTTTGTTTCATTCTTCGCATGCATTTTCACTTTGTTTGGACGCTTTCGAAGTCTTTCTGGTGTGCTTTTGAGCAGGGTTTGAACCGGTGACGTCTGTTGAAGTAGTTTTGTAGGCTAATTTGAAATTTCTGAGTTTGGGCTTGGATTGCAAGCTGAGGGGTTGGAACCAACGACGTCGGTGCAGCTCTTGGTTCGACTTATTAGCATGCAGTAGTATGCTTGAGTTTAGGGTGTGCACAGGCACGATTGCTCCAGGCGTTCACCTGGTCTGTACGGGGCTTTTTTCGGATCGGTACTTCCCGATATCGGGGCACCTTAACTTTTGGTAGCTATTTAGTGTTTGACGCAGAGTTTTGAGCTCTTCAGGCTTACGGTCGCAAAGGACGCTAGTAGTCCGGAACGCTAGTGCCTAGCGCGAACGGAAGAGGGTTGGACGGAACGTGACGGCTAGTGCGAGGTTTGACGGTGGATCCCCCTGATGAGGCGACGGCGGTCGCCGAAACGCGTCGGGGACGCTCCTATCATAATTGAATGTTTCCTATCTTTCGGTTTTGAGTAATGAACTTTGCTTGTTGTAACGCGTCTACGGATGTGATACGACTATGAATTCTGCTTCATCTCATTGTCTTTATCAACTGGTGGGTTCCATACGGTACCTGTGTAACATAGAATGGAGAAGATTGAGGCATTACCTATTAATGCTCTCCTGAAGACTGAGGTGTATACTGACGATCATGTGCCCAACTTTGTTATCATTTTTGCTAGGATTTCCAGGGCCATCGAGTGGTGTCGTCTAACTTCTGTGATCTTGATTCCCAAATATCTTAGAGGTTTGTTTGCCTTCGCCCATTGCAATCCTTCCGGGTTGATGTCCTGGCTGGTTCCCTCGCTCTGTGAATCCGATAGCCACCAACCCATCATTTTTGGCCAGTTGATCCTCACGCCGACTGGAATGCGTGGATTGCCCTTCTCAGGGGTGCAAATGAGGAGTCTGATTCCTGGATCAGCACTGTCAGGTCATCAGTGAGGAGAATTGTGGTTGGAATGATTACTTTCCTTTCCTGATGGTCCAGCTTCCCCTGTAGGCGCTGGATTGACGGATCTTTCCTAAGGAAGGAGGCCACTGCTTCCATTATGAATAGGAAGATCGGCACCGCCAGAGGGACCCCGTCACAGACTGATCTTGACATTCTGTACTTGTCTGAGAGGTGTCCGTTGACCTGCACTTGTCCATGTGCGTTGNGGCACCGCCAGAGGGACCCCGTCACAGACTGATCTTGACATTCTGTACTTGTCTGAGAGGTGTCCGTTGACCTGCACTTGTCCATGTGCGTTGTTTGTTGTACAACACCCTTATCCATTTTCTGAACTTGGGCTCCACACCCATTTTGTCCATGCAGCATTGGAGAAAGTTCCAATTCACCTGATCATATGCTTTCTCGAAGTCAAACAACAATATTGCTGCATTCATCTTCTTGTCCTTGATATACGGCACCGATTCCATCAGAATCCCTCTGTATTAGGCTCAACCTGATATAATTACGGAGCTTGCTAGTGTTACTTGCAGTTAACTGCAGTTACAGCGAAATTTCGTTTTTCTTTTGTTTTATTTCCGTTTGGTTCGCTGCTAGCTCAGTTGGTAAGGCACACAAGTGGCATTTAGGATGTCTCGGGTTCAATCCCTTTTGGCCTCATGTACCTTCCTGGGCAGGCTTGGCACCCGCCACCTAGAAATATGCCGTTGGTCCAGCAGAGACTGCTGAGGGGGAGGGGACCGGAGGGGAGGCACAGTGACTGGCCCATCGAAGAAGCTCGGTCCTGACGCTACCGGCTGACCCCTGGCCGGTATCACCCACCTGCTGTAGCAGGTATAGCACCTGCTGCTGGGTGCAGCTCCCGCATGTTCCCTCGTTGGAGGCTTGAGCACTGATGTGGCTGCTACGGGGTTCCCCGTAATACTATAACAACAATAAAGAAAGGCCTGAAAGGCCATCCTGTCCAGATTCGACAGGTAATTAAATTGGTTGGGCTTTAAAGAATTAGGCTAATTAGCCTTAAAAAAAAATTAAAAAAAATAAAAAAAATTGAATTTGATATTTCATGGAATAGGAAATTCGGACTTATAACCTTTTTGACTAGGCTACCAGAGTGGCCCGGGACCACTTGCCCAGCCGGGTCAAAAAGAAATAAAAAAACAAAAAAATAAAATTAATAAATTATATCTTAATTAAAGTTAATTTTATTTTAATTCTAACTCGGTCTAGAATTTCGATGTGACCCTGCGGAAAAAAGTTGTTCAGTTTATTTTTTTGTATAACATAGTTTTTTTCGGATTCTTTTTTTCCTGGCCCGGCTGGTAGCCAAGGAACTTTCGTTATTTGTCTTTTTGTATTTTTTTCTTTCTCTTATAAGTTATTACTACCTAGGTGTCAGGCTGGTCTTTTCTTACACTGCAGGGAAGACACTGCTAAGTCCCACAATGTCAATTTGTTTTCAATTTTTGCACCTTTGGGCAGGGTTGCACATGCCGACCGTCGGCGGGCCTCGGTCGGTCGGCCGCCGATCCGCCGACCGATCGGCGGGGTCGGCCTGGCGCATTTTTGTGCGGCGGCCACCCCCACCCCAAAGGCCCGTTTTTTTGTGTTTTCGGCCTGTACTGGGGGGGTCGGCCGATCGGGGCACGGCATGGGAGGCCGCCGACCATCGACACTGCCTTTTCCCTGGTCGGCGGCAGTACAAAGAGTGTGCTTACCCACACTCTTCCCATTCTACCGCCGTGGCATTTGTGGGCAGCCGTGAGTGTGGGCAGCTGCATTGCTCAGGCAGGGTGAGAAGAGTGTGGGCAGCCGTGAGTGTGGGCAGCTGCCTTTCATCCATGTCCGGGGTGGACTGTGTTTTCGATGACTTCATGGACGTCGGGACAGTGACACTATAATGGAGTTTTTTTTGTTTTTTTTTCTGTGCTGCACTGCTGCTGTCGACTGAATCCTCTG